AAAATGGACCTAAATTCTTTCCAAAGGCATTTGTTGACATATTAGAAGAGCTAGCAATCAACAGAGAAGACAATTTGGTGGAGCTTCTCGGTAAGTGTTCATTTCACACAGGCAGACATTTTCGAACGCTTCGGGAAAATGTGCAAAATTCACACATACATTTTCTAGAAAGTGCAGAGCATTTGTTAAGCTTCTAAAAAAGAAAAGTTTTCCCTACTGAAAAATTTTGCAATGATCTTACCCCTTAAAGAAGGGCAGGTGTAGTGTGTTAGGAGTTGTTTCAACCAAACAAAAGCGGCGCTAAGAACTCTGATAAAAAACTCGCGTTCGACTTTGGCTCTTTACAGCAAAACTCACCTGAGGCATTTCTCATTCATCATCTTTCGATAGCTTCTTATGTGTTCAAGCAATGCTTAAGACGATAACTAAAAACGCACTATTACTTGGATTGCTTCAACACTAGAGATTACACTCCTCGCACAGAATATTTATTCCACATAAAAAATGCGAAAAAAATTTGTAGCAGACGATAAATAATTTTCGTTATTCTTTTGAGAGGCAATTTTTTCACTTAAAAGAAACCGATAACGAATTATTTCCACACTTAAGATGCTCTTGCGTCTTTTTAATAATCAATGAAATGACATGAGACTGAGCTGAAGCTATTACGTTTGCCGATAAAGAATCGAAAGTCAACAAATTGATTGTTAGTATTTTTGTAGTTTACTTATGCCAATGGGACAAATTCTTCGATCAAAGTAGGCTGAGGCTTAGCATTAGCTGCTAAGAGCATCAATTCTAAATGGTTTGCCTGCTCTTTTTAATAAACTTGAGTATTTTATTGGTAGTCAACACATGATGTAGCATTATTATGAGAACAAGAAAATGAAGAAAAAAAAAAAAAAGAAAAAGATAAGAAACTTTTAAAAGACAAAAACAAAGTCAAGTCATTCCTTTTTTAATATTCTTATAAAATTTATTGCATTTAGTTGGAAGTAAAACGTATCTAACCGTAAGGCATCGTTGCTATAGTTATGCTTTTGTTTTGATTTTCATTTTTAAACAGTACGAATATGAAGAATTAAAAGATAAGAAATCCTTTGAAAGAATTATTAAGAGCTTACCTAGCCTTCACATTCCAAATGGGTTTTAATTTTTATTTTTATTTTTTTTTTTTCTTCTGTTTTTACGTCTGACCGTAAAATGCAAATTTCCATAAGAAATGCTAAAGAAACAAATTCGAAAATCACCTTAAGCTGTTAAGAATGTCAAAGGCAATGCTAACGAGCAACCTGTTACAGTATATATATAAAGCAAAAACAACATTAGTTAAATTGGTCATTTTAAGATGTCAACGCTTTAGAGCATTCCGTTTGCATTTAACAATTAGTCCATGAACACGTGTATGTGACAATAGAAAGAAGAAAGAAAACATACGCACAAACACACACACACACACACAAGATCATACAAAGCAACAATTAATGTAACATTTTTAAATTAAGTGATTGCTGGAAGGAAATAATTTCGAGAAAATGTGCAATAACTTTGTTTGTATATACAGTGCAGATATCACTCTCACCCTCTCTAACAGAGATAACTTTCCTAATAAAAAAAAAAAAAAAAACATCATCAAAATACTTGCAAGTTATCATATGTGCAAAAATTTATGGAATAGAATAGAAAAAGAGATACTGTTGACTTTAAAAAGAAAAAAATCCTACATATATAACGATTAGCTATCAAACAAATGATAGTAAGAGCAGGAGCAAGCAACTTAGGGCCGAATTTGTTTTTGTGCGCATTAGTTAAGATATATTTTAGATTGTGCAAAGAGCGGACAATCTGTGGTAGAAGGACACCCGGACAGACTCGATTTACACGCACCTTTCGTCATACCGTTCGATAGAGAATCATCTCCTGAATTAAGCTAAGCTCGTCTGTCCCTATGTCCGTCTTCGGTACATCGATGTATTTAGCTCATCTTGAAAACCGTTGTATGAGTAAGTGCGTTAAGTGTGAAGTAATGTAGGGTATTTAATATTTGTCTATGCTATGCTTCATTGTTCGATAATTCAATAAATCATATATGCAGTACTCTATTAATCCTTTGTATTTCTACGTCGAGTATGTGGCGGCATTATATGTCGACACAGAGTCGACTTTATATTAATTGAAATTAAAAAAGAAACAATTAAGAGCGCAAAGGATTAACTTAACTATTAAAATTCGTTCATTCATCGAATCATTAATTCTCTCTGATTCTTTCACTCATTGATTCTTTCACGCATTGCTTGGTTAATTCAATTCAATTCCGTGATATAATAAAACAATCACTAAATTATTCAATAAATCTTTGTTTCTTAGGAGAAACTCACTTTTAATCCAAAAGTGCATGCACTTCACGAAATTTCTATGTACACTGAGTTGAATGGTCGAGCAAATTAATTCACGATTTTGATATTAGATGATCTTTGGATCGTATTTTTAGCATTGTTTATATCTCGAATAATTCATCAAAAATATATGAAGCGCTCAAAACAAGATTTAATGTTACCGGTATATGACAATTCCTTCCCTTTAGCGCTGATTCGTTTCATGTCCATTTTATAGGAAATATCTGCTGTGAGCTGTCAACAACTTCTAACACATCAGGTAGACGGACATTGGTAGAATTGGAAGCAATTTAAGTAGATCCTTTGGAGAATATTTTTGGCCTGACTATGTCAGCCTATGCACAATTAGCGACGCGTCTATAAAACTTGCACAAATGGCAATTGCGACCCAACGACGGCACAGATCCTTTAACTTTAATTGATAATATACGCGTGAAGACATTGTCATGCCCTTGATCATTACAAACGGTATGAGAAAATTACACAATCTACACTGTGATGTCGTTAGCAAAAAGTCATGGAGAAAATTTGATATTTTCGTATAAGATTAAGGAAAAAGCCCAACAGACTGTTAACCAAGAGTAACCAACCAACTAAACAAACAATCGTCCCGCCAGTCTTGCACAGTTTGAAACTTTAATGGTTGGGAAAATAGTTTGCGGAAGTGAACTGGTTTTTAAGTTATTTTCGGTATTATTGTTTTTGTTATCTCTCTCATCGGTCTTCTTCTGCTTGTTTTCTTAACTTCTTAGCTAGTAAATAACAAAAAAGAAAACAAAAACTTTGATTTCAATTTTGACATTATCTTCAAATCTATCAACTTTTAGACACACACACACGCATAACAACTTAAGTACATAGACCTTTAGCCAATCGCCATCTTCAACACAAATTCTCTGGCACCGAGCTAAGGCAATTTGTTGCTTTGCCCGCAAAGAGAAGAGAGGGGAATCGGAAGAGATATTTCTTTTTTTTCTTCTTTTTTTTTGTTTCTTTTTTGCTTTCCCTTTTCCTTTTTAAATTTTCTTTGCTTACGCAATGTTTTGTGTACTTTAAGTGTGTAAAACAAACTTTGCAGACACAGGAAATATTTATTGTATAAGAATATCTTAACCTTAAGTAATTTTACATAGCAGCTGGTGCTGCTTTCGCCGCTCTCTGCCTGTCATTTGTTAACTTCTTTCATTGTCATCAGTCTTAATTAAGTTAAGAGCTCGAAAACAATATAATTAAAATTTGCACTCGACTCCAAGCCCTATCTACGAATATTTGCAGACACATACAGATTGATTAGAGTCATTAACAACACAATAACTACAACAACAAAAACCGTAACAACAATAACAATAGAACAAAATAACAGTAGACGTTAAATACAACAACGAAGCCACTGACTAGAAGATGGAAGCAATTTAAAGGAAGTTAGTCGATAACTCCAGAACATCTTTCTTCCTTGATTGCAACTCTTTCGAACATTTCGTTCAATTTTAGGGAACACAGTTGATGCGTCTCCGCCGTCGCATTTCTTATTAGAAAATTAACCATACGAATAATCCTGTACTTTTTTTACATTCTTCTCCTTTTTTTTGGGGGAAGGGGTAATAAAAACCATCTGCTAAAGCAAACATGTCTGTAAGGACATTTTCGAAATGATGTAAGCTAACAAGAATGTTGACGAGTAAAAGCACTATGGTTTAAGTTGTATTATCTCTTCCTAAGCAAGAAGCCGAGATCAAAACTATGAATACTTTTCACTTATGCTTTTAATTGGCTTTCCAAACCTCTTTTTCCACCCTACACCATTTGTGATGGAAAGGTGTATTAAGTTTGTGGGAATGAATGCAAACCCGTGATGAACTTGAAATAGACCCACCTATCAGTACTACGATCGATTCCGAATTACTTTCTAAAAAAATTGTCCGTCCGTCAATTTTCGAGATATTTTGATGAAATTTGTTCCAAGAGCGAGCGCTATCGAGGATGGTTCCGATTGGGCTACTTTTTCGACCACTTCCCATAGAGCGCTTTATTTCGAAAAGTCGTTATATAAGCAGCTGGATGGTGATACGGGCTGTTTAATGGTACGCCGTGATACGCTGTATTGCCTTTACTTGTTCCCCCTTAATTTTATGTACAATTTCGTAATAATTGATAAAAAAGGGCGAATGTAAAAGCCAGGTGATCTACCTCATGCCTCAAACTACTTTAACATCCTTTTACTTTTTACTTTTATTGCAAGCAACTTAATTGGCCAATGTAAGCTCATTAATCGTTCACGCATCACGCATCGTTGACACTGCTTAAAGGCCTATCTATAATCGGCCTATCTTCTATATCCTTTTCTGTGAAATTCCGTGAGTGCTACTAAATCTCAAAAAAGGCCCTTAAAAACCGAAACAAGACACTAATCAGAGAACAATAAGAAAATTTTAACCATATACCGTAATCCATCCTTCAAAGGTGATTTTTTAATAGCTTGAAATATTACAAAAAAAATAACCGAACGTCACAACATAACCTCAATGATAGTAAATAAAAATATGACATCTGTGTGGAAACACATCACAAACAAAAAAATGCAAAAAAAAATATGTGTAAACTTACCCAAACCAGACATGGGCCCAAAAACAGTATTATCGTCAATGGTAGTACAATTCCAGCGGCGATTTTTAAATTGGAATTGACATTCCTGTGAATAAAATTAAACAAAAGAGATGGAAAATTTTTAAATAAACAACATATTTTAAATATTTTTGCAAATCAATTAAAATGTTACTTTTGAAATATTTCTCCCTTCAAATTTATGCATACATTTTAACGTGAAAAATAGCAGACAAATTAATTGTTTTTTCACCAATATTTACATAAACCAGACTAAAACGACAGCAACAAAAATTAAAAAAAAAAAACGCAAAAAAAAAAACAGCAGAAAATCATCAGAATAAAGAGGATGTGTAAACAATAAGGACGCAAGCATGGATACAGGGTGAAGAAATTGACGAATGCTTGTCCAAACGACGAAAGCTGAAACTGTTATTCTAAGTAGTTAAGCATCCCTATAGAAGGACAAATAACTCGATTCACTCGATGGGAGGTGGCTTAGATCAGACTCATGTTAAGCAAAGGGATCGATTAAAGCCAAGCCTTTCCGTTGACAAAACGACTGATTAAGCTTGTGTTAAGAATCAATCACGGCTGACCTTCGAGTCTGTCTTTGATTTACTTGTCTTCAAATTTTCCCGTTGTGATCAGATCAACGTCTACTAACTATCCATCGGAATTTCCATCACAAAATCGTTTCTATCGGTGTGATGCCAGTCATTGTCTTGATAGCATTGCTAGCAACTAAAATTGCCATCTTCGGCTAAGGCAGCAAGAGACGAGGTCTTGCATTAAAGTCCAGAAGAGGGTACTGGAATGGAATGCCTAATTAACTTTACTGGGGGTAAGAGACAGTGCAAAGCTAATAAAAGCAATCATTATAGCACCCTTTTCGAGAGGTATTCCCGAGACATGTGCGACACATTCTGCTAGAGATGATTTCAAATCATTTCAGCAGTTTCGTGTTGTTTCGCTGAACACAAACGGTTCATAACGTAGGGAGGATCATTGGTCCTCTACCTTCCTCAAAATATACAAATATTGTTTTACATGTAGTGACAGATTCGCAAGATGGCCGGAAGCCATAGTTTTGGCAGACATTACCGCTGAGTCAATTGCTAATGCTTTCTTTCATGGCTTTTTTCTTCTAGATTTAGTGTACCAACTCAAATTATAAGCGATCAAGGCAGGCAGCTTGAATCCTCTCTAATCCGAGAAATCGCCAAAGTGCTTGGTTTCAAAGTCATTCATACAATATCATTTCACTCTCGAAGTAAAGCCCGAACTGAAAAATGGTATCGAAACTTGAAAAATGCTATTAAATGTCACACTGATACAAAATGGGCAGATTTTTTTGCCACTAGTACTACTTGGCTTTTGCAGTTCAGTGAACGCTTACTCTGATTGCCTAGCTGCTAAACTAGCCTATGGTGTAACTTCGCAATACCTTGGTCAATTCGTAACCAAAAACACTTACTTAGCAGATAACGTCTGGGCCGAAAGACTTTGTGGGAATATGCAAAATATGAAAGCTTACAAGTAAGTAAGTAAGACAAAACAGAAATGCATCTTGTTACGTCCCTCGAGATATGACAGCAAGTTCCTATGCGTTTTTAAGGAACGATTTCGTATTGTAGCCTTTACAACAGTCTTATAGGGAACCTTATAAAGTTGTTACGCCGACCAATGATACGCTTGTAATTAAGCCGAACAATGCAGAAAAAATCATATCAGCGGATAGATTGAAACTAGTGAAAATCGTTCAACAAACCGATAACAAATCCTGGATGACTGAACCACGTGAAAAGGCTAACAACTTAATCTTCGCAAAAGCCAAAGTCACACGTCCCCAGTCAAGTTGAGATTAAACGGGGGTATTATGGGTATTAACAATAGCTTCAGGATTGACGGTAACCCTGTTAAGATGTATTCGGAATGTGAAAAACTTGGTGGGCTAGCGGAGTGTTGCCATAACTGAAATGAATTAATAAATTTGTGCAGTAAAAGTTAGATCAATCAAATGCGGTCGGCTGCCTCTGTGCTACGGAATATTTCATTATCGCGAGGGTTTGTTGAGTTGCTATAAACAACGCGACCTCATGTTCAATGCCACTCACTGTACCCTGTTTAATCATAAGCGGAACTAAAATGATGCTCGTTTTAATAGTGTAATCGTTTTTAAATATGAACTATTCCGCATGAATGATTTATAAAAAATAACACGTGGTTTTTATGAACATAAACAAAAATTCTGAGGATATATGTATCGCTGAAATCGTTAAAAAACTATTTCACACTTACCGATACAGAAGCGTTTACATGATTGTTTTGCCAACTTTTATTGGCAATCTCATGGACGCTTCCGCGTCCACGTTCTAATACCCTAGAATTTGATTGCCTGAAGCCCCACCCATTAGATCAGTATATATATGAAATAAATTATCAGAAAGACACATATCCCACTGAGTCCAAAGTGCTGTCAGCACATGATTTTACGATATGATCTCTGAAGTCTTGCAAGTAACATCCAAATACCATTCGCCCCGATATTGCCGCATCCATGGAAATGAAAACAAATTTTCATTCGAGGAGATATCTAAAATTCTTCGTTCAATATGGCTTTTGCAAAGATCAGCTCGCTGGTGACCGATTAGCGGTTCCTATGGAAAAGTGAAACCTGTCCCTTGGACAAAAATGAAAATACTTCTTTAGATAGAGACCATTTAGAAAGAATCCCTACTTATTCGTTATCACATAATAGCACTTAATCTCATTCGTTCTCTTCCAAAATCGTATCTTGCAGCAATGAGCTTAAATATTGTAGAGACGTCGAGAATATAGAGTGAATTTCTATGCTGCCTCTCACTGCATAGGAGAGGTTATGAATGCTTCTTTTTCTTAGCAGTGTCTCAACAAGAGTCGGCTAAGTTGATGTTCTAGATATGAAAATATGACATAACGTCTTTCGGGCATAACATGTCCACCCAACACGAAAAGAATCACAGAAGGTCTTTGAGTTTTTTTAAGCGGCATAAAGCTTACATCGCTTATATCCGATCAAAATTTCACTATATTATGCAGGTATGTAAAGGGGTAAGCTTTCTCTACGTGCTTTTCATAAGGCTATTCGTCTATTTGCGCGTTCTCAGGCTTTCATCTTGGAGTTGAATGTAAATTCCATAATGTTCTGCGGCCGGATTTTGAAACAACCCATCTGCCGTGATTTTTTCCGCTTTTCAAGATGTTCCGAACTTAAAGCCCGAGGTAAACAAATTCTTCTCATCTTTCTTTCTTTTCCTCTATGCAGAATCTTTTTCAAACGCCACACACACATCTATCTCCACATCTATAGGAGACATATCCTGGGTGTTAGGTGAAATATATAATTTAGTTTAGTATAGTGATTTTACTATTATATAACGAGTTTGCAAATATTCTAGTCCTTCTACTTTTGCTAGCTTTTCTTGATCCTTCTTCCCCTACAGACAGCTGCTTTATCTGAACTTCATTCAGTAAGTTTTCCCTTTCTTCGGTAACCCCGAAAAGAAAATTTCTGTTCGGTTTTTCCTCCACATTACATGCTTCTTCTTCACATAGATTCGGCATGAATAGAATTAACTAAATTTTGCAAAATTCATATAATAAAAAGAGAATTTAATTTCATAATACAGATACATATCCTTGTTAATGTTTCGATGAGTATTAAATTTTAATTAGTCGCGTGTGTTAGAAACACATATGCATAATTTAATAAGCAGAATTAATGTTAGTTATAATTAATTTTTGATGTTTAATAAAATTTCGTGATGTTGAACAAAATAAAAATTTTACAAATAAAAAGAGGAAGTTGAGTTAATGTAGAAACGAAAAAAAAACGTATAATAAAAACAACTAAGAAAATTATATTCGGTCGTGATCGAAACTTTTATACCCATCACACCCATTTCCGAAAATGAAAAAAAAAAATAATAATAATAATAATAATGAAAGGAATAAAATTTTCATGGTTTGTAACATTAGATGGGCGTGGCTGAATTTTTCTATTTTCCGAAGAAAGGTGCAAATTTATATGTTGTGAGTGCTGTACTTGATGAGTGACAAGTAAAAAACATGGCAAGCAAAGGTGTTTACATTTTTTTGTTGCATAGCCGCATGAGCATTATAGGTATGATCTTCGATCGATTTGGCCCATTTTCAATGGCAACCTGCCCGCCCGAACTTCCAACGTTTCTGCCAAAATTGAAACTTAATTTTTGCAGCCAAGGATATGTTTACACCAGACATTTCAAGGGCGGACAGACGGACGGCCTTAAATCGACTCAAAACGTGATGCTGTTGGAATAGATATATATATATACTTCTTGGGGCTTCTTCCGGGGTTTGCAAACGTTCTGAGAACATGAATGTACCACTGATCAGTACAAAATTACATAATCATATAAAACGAATGAAATTTTTCATATGGAATTCTTAAGATACACATATTTCCATAAAAGAGAAGGTATAGGAGACAATAGCAACACACATATGTAAAACTTCCTGAAAGCGTTGTAAGTTCGCAAGTACGTAAGAATTCTGCGAAGATGTCAGAAACAAAGAATTTTCTGTTAAAAAACCACAGTCAAACGCTCAGTTCTGTTATTAAAAATGTTGTGGAAATGAGTCGAGATGGTCGGGTTCAATTTTGGAAGCAATTCAAAGAGAAAGGAAATTTTTATAAGAAAATTTGTTTCTTCCGGTCTCTATCTTCTCTAATGCAGAATTGTTGAATTGGATAACGTCGCCATACCGCTTTGCAAAATGGAATAAAGTAAACTGAAGATTGATAGGAGAAAACCGTAAGAATGACGAGCTCTACCATAAAAGGACGATATCAATTGTAGCAGATTTATGTGTGTGTATCTGCACAAGCCTGAGAGACAACTGAGCTGTCTCTACGTGACGCTATCTGTGGAAGATATAGCCAAACGAATAAGCAGAAGCTATAAAAAAGCTTCAGGTAATCAACCATTCGTCATCATATGAAAAATGATGCTTAACTCGCTGCAAGAACTTTACAGAAATCTCTGTTTCACTAATGTAGCAAGA